ATTTAATCCTAATCCTCCAGTCATCAAACTCCAAGGGACTTGTATTCTTTATTTTAATCTTCAAACTCCTCTGATGTTGCCATGACTAGGGGTGATGCTGATTGTTTACCATCTCAAGTGATTCGTTTGTTCATTTGGTGTGATAACCCACAAAGTGTGGAATAGCAAAGCTTCGACACGCATTAAATTATTGTGAATTAAGTGACCGGAGGTCGAATCCTTCCGTATCCCTAATACCTCCCCGATCCCTAAATCACCGAAACCCTAATCTCCAAAAGTCTTGCAATATATTTCTGACTCCTCTGGTGTTTCGGAGGTCCATTGATTACGACGACTGCTTACCATAAGGAAATGCGTCTGCTAGTTTGCAGAGATTTGTAAAGAAAAATATCGTATGCAAAGTAAAATAGAAAAAATACAATAATTTATTCAGATCTAACAACACCGTACCAACTATATTACATTAATAGCGGCCACAAATAAAATAAACACCATAAAATGTTAGAAAAATATTTCGTTTAAATTCCGCGACTAAAATCCAGGCTTGTTGCAGGATGCAATCCCACTCCTATGCAATCATGCATATCCTTGCTGCATGTGTATATGCATGATTGCGTAGGAGTGGGATTGCATCCTGCAACAACATTTAATGTCATGGATTTCCGCAAAGTAACGCCTGATTCTATAAAACACACCATAAACAAAACCAAACATAAAACAAAACAACGCTCATTAACAAAATAAAACAGCGAACACACCCCTTATCTGCAAAACATTGGTTGAAAAAAAAACTTAAAAATATCACAACTTATCGTGTCTACAGGGTGAGATAACAAGTTTTTGTTCGTCCCATCCCAACGATAATGAGTGGGACGGTTTAGACCGACTCAGTCACCTTAGATAAGTGGTAACGACACAGGGGAACCACAAACTGAGTTGTGACGTAAATATATACATTTCACCCTACATATTTTACGCGAAACAAGTGTAATTTTTTAATTATGAAGATTTTTTTTATGTGATTGGTTATTGGCAAACTAGCAAGCTTATTACGTGATGGTAACAACGAAACAAACGGTACCCGAAACAACGGAGGATTTAAAAGTACGTTGCCGACTTCGTTCCGTCTTCTAGGGATAAGGTATTGGGGGAGGGGAAGGATTGGGCCTCACTCACACGGCGAAACACAACGCTGTGGTTGTTTCACGTCGGTTTTCTACGAGGCCGTGGTTTCACTCCGGTCGAGCCGACCCATTCGTGCTGAAGCATGGCTCTCTTACAGATGTTTTCCCTTATAATGGTGTGATGTGCATCTTTAAAACATTGTGTTATGTTATAAATTAGGTAAAGATCAAAAAACGTGATTTAAAAACACAAAACAAAATGTATGACTCAGTGCAGATAAATTCAAAATCATAAAATTATCTAGGTATAAATAAAGTCTGTACCTAGGTATAAATAGGTATAAGTAAGTCTAGGGTAAAAATAAAAAATAATCAAATGACGATAGATAAACAGGGTATCATCAAAATGATTTTACTGACTAGCTACGTGGTTTAGGCAGAAGTGAGTGTCAGAATCTTAATGACTAAAAACCATTCCGTTCTCTCTCCTTCTGCAGGCCGAGCCATCCAAGACATGATATGGTAACCACCTTTCTTACTTACTTCTTTATTGTAAACTTCTTGAAAACAGCGCTAACACTTTTGGTGTTGGGAGTGTCCATGAGTGTTGCCGAATGCTTACCATCAGGTAATCAGTCAGCTAGATGGCCGTATCACATAAAAAAAGCAGATCAAGATGAAGTATATACGCTATGTTTTACGAACTGAAAACCTAAATCGAACATCTCCGATGATCTTTTGTTTATTTTGTAATTCGAACACAAACTGACTTCCAAGAAAAATAATGAATAATATATTTTTTTTATAAAAACACTCGACAAGGTTATTACTTACAATACTTAACATACTTACTCGAAGATTTTATTAAAGTAAGAGATAATGTTATTTATAAAAATCACGTCGATAGTCGCAGTTTATCTGTGCGTGTTTATAAGCGTTTAGTGTTAAGACAGATAGGCGCGAGGTTACGGGACGACTCGGGGGTATCGCTCCAGAGGTACAGAAACAGTAGCCGTGATTTATATTCTCTTGTTTTTTGGCTTTTTATTCGTTAAAAGGAAAATAGAATGCGGAATTTCGAGTAGCGGAAAATAGAAAAAACACAGTATTATTTTGTTTGAAAGTGTTGTGCCTGCGTTCAAATACCTACGTAATATATAATAAAAATATAATTTTATTTATCGGGAAAAGACAGAAAAACTGATATAAGCTCAGTTAATAAAATTAACAATACAAACACATATTTCATTATGTTACTATTTTTCAAATTACTTTATGTTTTTCTGCCTAGGTCTTTAGATACAATATAAAGTGACAGTACTTGCTTACTATTTTCCAAATAAACCTATTGCATTACCAGGTGTAGGAGAAATGATTAACATTTAACATTGAGTCTTTATTGAGTACAACTACGTACTTATAACGTATGACAATGGAAAAATACTTTGCATATTAAATGTAGAATAAACATGAGACCATAAATAGGCTCGCATTAATAAAATCAGCTTTATGAAGCGAAAAAGATGAAGTAATCCGTCGTCTACAATGTCCAATCTCTGCAATGACATTCTAGGGTCCTGACCTGGAGCAGGAGAAGGAATAGAGTGGTTTTAAGTCAGTAATACTTTGACTGTCGCCCAGCTCAAGCGGGCGAATTCATTTGATGATTTTGCCCCCACAAAAATCTAATCTTAATCGCCAAACTGTAATTCCTGATACCCAAAAGACCTTTATCAGAGCGGTGCTTCTGGTGTACCGGATAAGAAATCGCTTACCATCAAGTGATTTGTCTACAAATCGCCCTATGCCATAAGAAAAACAAATGAAACCAACGAGGCCAATCAAAAACTACTTTAGGACTTTAAATAATGATTTATTCAGTGATTTAAGAATTCATAATAAAATTAACGATATAAACAAAAAACATCAGATTTTATGCTGAATAATTAACAATTTGTATAGTTTTACCTGAGCTGTGTTCATCTGAGCAATACACGTTTGTTTAACAATAATTTAAATAAGACAATTTTGATGATACATTTTTAAAAAATATTACAATTTTTATCGATTACTGATAAACTGAGAAAACGAGTTTCACGATTAAAGATTCTCACTTTATCTAGAATAGATACGCTAAAAAGGCAAACATCTTTAAAAAAGCAAAAATCTTCTCAAACAATCTCCGAAGTAAAATCTCGATAACCCACAATAATTTAGAATACGAGGAAATCTCAACCGTCAATTAATAAAATAAATTAACGAACGATTCCCGTGTAATTTTCATTTAAGGAAAGTTTCCTTTAACCAAAGATAATTAGGCATATTTAGCGAAGCCAAGATCGCGAAGGACTGGCGGCGAGAAAACCGAATTGTTGGCAAAGTTGTTAATAACAAGTTTCCCTGTATTTTTTAATTGGTTCGCACCTGCTATTTGATCTGTTTTTAGGAAATCGGGAAAATTAGCTGAAGTTTTGCTTTCGATGTAAAACGTATTGTTACGAGCCTGACGTCACGTTCGTGACTATGCGGGCTTAGGTTACGGGATTGGATGAAATTAAACACTAATACCGGTTTTCAGACTTTCTATTTAACTTAAGTGACAGCGTCCACCGAGTTCCTCTCTAGCAGAGTCCGGACTGACACAAACTTCCGTTTGCTGCTCACTTTTCACGCTGACTTAACTGCACTTCACTATTTCACTGCACTTCACTATTTCACAGCACTTCACTATGTCACTCACTTTTCTTCTGTTTCACTTCTTCCTTTTCTTCCGAATCGCTTTGGACTTAGAACTCAACTGCCAGCGGTGAGCCGCAGTTCCGCTTATATAACCCCGGTCAGGTTCTGGAACATTCAATTTCATTCGTCTTTTCATTATTAATTTCATTATTCATTTTTTTATTCTCCTTCTCGCCCTTTAATTTTTCATTTCTTTCACACAAAAGCTTCCAGAAAGTTCTACACAAAATTTCCATCAACTAAAAACTCCATGCTTACGGCGGAACCCGAACTTTTTGTCAAGGCAACGTTTGACAACCATTCATAGACGTCATGATGACTCTTTTCCGTCACAGTATTTTTCAATCGTTTTGGTAAAAAATGTGGCAGTGCCATTTTTTGGCACGAATGGGTCGGCTCGACCGGATTGATACCAGGTGCTTACAGAAAACAACCACAGCTTTATGTTTCGTTCTATGAGTAGTCATAACAGTATACAGACATTGAATTTAAAATATTTTCTTTAAGACCAGTTCAGCGGTTTGACTACGGAGGCTGTATGATCAGTGCTGCTCATTGACTCGCATCACCGTAATTGAGAGAGACAAGTTTTAGCACAAATGGCCCGGTTGGACCGGAGTTCTGTGGGCCTCACAGAAAACCGCCGTGTAACAAAACTTGCGTTGTGTTTCGCTGTGTCAGTGAGGTTATCGGAGGCCCTATACACAATCCTCAAATCTTCAATCCTTAAATCCCTAATAACGAGGGGCCGGCAACGCGCTTACAGTAACTCCTGTGGTATTGCGAATGTCTATGGGCAGCGCTGATTGCTTATCTGTCGGTAATTCATCTGCTCAGTTGCCATAAAAAAAGAGTTCTTTAAAATAAAGTGCGTTGCCAGCTATTTTAAATTCTACTTTCTTTTCCAAGGGCAAATGAGTTTGGATATATTTCATTTATATCATTTACACGAGGCATGCGCATAGCAGAAAAAATGTTACGAAATATAAGACAAGCCGTACAAAAATAAATCATTTCATTACTCCATTTTTCATCCAGTTCAGATAAAAAGCGACCCAAGCTTGCTCATCCCTGGTTTATTATTTTTGACGTATCCGTCCGGTGTTATCAAGATTGTGTTATTGAACAGTCAGTTGTGGATGCAGCCCCTTCTACTGAACATTCCTATTCTGTGATATTTTTTTAATAAGTGCAGTTGACGCCGATTGTACTTGGAAAATCAAAGTAGGTGCTTTTTCATATTAGACATGACCTTGACTTGGTGTTTTGTTTTTTTGTAGTGACGTCAGACATTCGGATCGTTGGACGGTTTTGTGTTCTTTTTTTTTGTATTAGTGTTCGATTTTAATTTGTTTTCAAATTAATTGATGATTTTCGCGTATTTTTTTTTTTTTGTTTTAGGTTTTTGCATAATATTTTTATTATGGCTGTGAATAGCAAGTCTCAAAATTGAAACCTTTGGGACTTTTTGTGAATGTTATTTTATATGATGAAACATTTTTAAGTAACAATAAATATTATTTTCTCTAAATTGTTTGAAATCTAAGTTTAAACTTTACTAACGACCCTTAATTTAAGTGAACGTTTTATTTATTACGTCTTACTCGAGTTACTTTTTCTCTTGTTCCAATAATTAGGTCAGACTACAATCTCAATATTTGCTACTGAATTCTCAATGTCAGTATTTTATCAAAATATTTTATGTGGAATATTGTTAGCACTAATCATACTAAGTATTCAAGTTTCTAATCCCAAACACATTACATTAGCTAGGCCGCAGCGTTAAACGTGTCTCTTTAATTTATTTATTACCAGCTACTCTCGCGCGGTTTCACCCGCTGCTCAGCTCCATTTGATCGTAGCGTGATGTTTATTTATGTCTAATATGTGTATTATGCCTATACCACTCAAGAACATTGTAGCTATCTATCAGTGAAAGAATTTTGGGAATCCGACCAGCGGTTCCAAAGATTACCCCCTACATACAAACTTACAAATTTTACCTCTTTATAATATTATAAAGTATAGATGTATTTTTATGCCTTCTCCCGCCTGGATGAGCGAAAGGGAATCTCAGACTCTTACTGACTAAAAACTACCCTGTTCCTTTTCCTGCTCCAGGCCGGGGCCGCGATAAATATTGCGCTTGACCTTGCACACTGCGCGTGACCCACAATACCAAAAAGTATTGTTTTAACTCTGGTGTTATAGATATACGTAGTGGTCGCTTACCATCAGAGGACCTTCATCAGTACTACAACTTAAATAATTCTCACCAAAATTTCCAAATATAACCATTCATCCAACCATAATTAATATGAATAATAGTTTAAACTGTCAGTATGATTGGCTTCATTTGATCGTATTATCTTTCAATCGTGGTATATGTTTATAATATTTTAGCATTGCCTAGTAGTCGAATTTAACACAGAAGTGTACTTCTACTTCTCTCATAAACTTAGATAATAGCAATGTGATTTAGTCCGACTGTCTGCTTAGAGCAAACGTGACTATGCTCATTCTTTTTTTGTGCGAAAAGAGGTTGTTTTCAGCAGTGAGGATATAGGCTGATAATGATGATAATTGTCAATGTCAATAGTGCCTTTAAAGTGGTCATTGTCATGATTATCAGCCGAAATGGACCTCTAAAATAATATACCATTTAGTCAGTTCAATTTTATGATATATAAAATTGCCAATAAATGTATGGTACTGGTCAGTCTTACTTGCAACCCTCTTTGCACTTTGACTGTTCAGAAGCGGACGTTTCATGTAGCATGTAAGTGCATCAATTAACTTGTTTTGCCTCAGAAATAGGTAGTAAAGTGACCTGAACTTTAATCATATTATCAGACCTCTTAACTACAGTCAGTTTCAACACACGGACTGCAAAAACACTTCTATCACTTCAGAATAAGATGTCTTTTCGCGTGAAGCCGTTCTTTCACGGTCTGAAGTAGCACATAGAATGTAAAAATCAACCTTATGATATGGAGATACGGATGTTTCTGGTATGATATTGTAATCTAGTCTCGGTTACGTATGTTATTTGAACTTAAAAGGAGATATAAGTTATTATTATGATGTTTACATCCGATGGAAATTTGTTATGAATGAGCATTGAGGGTAATTAAATTGTATGATTTAGATGACTCATTGTCATTATATAGTTTATTTTATTTGTTAACTTCAGCTTATTATTACTTGTTGGAATGAGTCTATCTGATTTTACAAAGACAGTTTCAAATATACATTCAGTCAACAAAGTATCGGGAAAGAATGTTTTTTTTATGGTTCCAAATTCGAATTTTAATTTTTTTTGTTGTTGTTAGATTGGCATAACTGTTTTCCATTTTGGCGCGGAATTTGAGTTGCATCTGTTATTTATATTAAAAACAGTGCTGTTTTTAGTTTTATAATATCTAGTGTGTATTGCAAATTTCATAATGGACAAAAACATCGAACAAAGAGTTGGCTTAAATTTTGCATCGCCAATGAAATTTCGTGTTCGGAGGCACTCAAAATGTTACAGAAGGCTTACGGTGAATCGACTTTATCAAAAACACGTAAACGAGTGGTACAAAGCGTTCAAAAGCGGTCGAGATGTGATGGAAGATTTGCCCTGTTCTGGTAGGCCATCAACGTCTGCAACTGAAGTTAACATCGCAAAAGTGAAGGAAATAGTGACTGAAAATCCTCATTCAAGTTTGAGAGAGATGGCCGCCGATGGCTTTCTGTATCTCACGAGTCGATCCGTACCATTTTAACAAATAATTTGGGTATGAAACGTGTTGCCGCTCGGCTAGTTCCAAAAGACCTGAATTTTCTTCAAAAACTAAATCGCATAAAGTCGCTGAGGACATGCTAGAACGAGTCAATACCGACCCAACATTCATGAAACGCATTGTTACTGGTGACGAGACGTGGGTTTACGAGTTTGACATGCAAACTAGTCAACAAGCTTCGGAATGGCGCCTTCCAACTGAACCAAAACCGAAAAAACCACGTCAAAGTCGATCAAAAGTCAAAGTCATGTTTACTGTTTTCTTTGACTATCGCGGTGTTTTGCACTCATAATTCTTGCCCGAAGGTCAAACGGCAAATAATAATATATATAATATATAACAACGGTTAATAAATAAAGAATATTATTTAAGCGTTATGCGGCGTTTAAAAGAACAAATTCGACGAAAAAGGCCAGAAATGTGGAAAGAAAATTCTTGGATTTTGCATCACGATAATGCGCCTTCGCACAAGGCCATCATTGTAAACGATTTTTTGTCCAAACACTCAACAAACACCATCGAGCAGCCACCATATTCACCAGATATGGCTCCAGCCGACTTCTTTCTTTTTCCCACACTCAAATTACCCCTTCTTCGCTCCCGTTTTCAATCGTTAGAAGACATAAAGGAGAATTCGCGGCGAGCACTGAACTCAATTCCGGAAACAGCGTTTAAAAAAAGTTTCGATGATTGGATTATTCGTTGGCGTAAGTGTATCGTTTCTGAAGGCGCATACTTTGAAGGTGATAAAATAAATTTAGATGAATAACAAACATTTTGTGTATTATTGACTTTTTCCCGGTACTTTCTTGACAGAGTAGTATTTGGCAACGTTCAGTGAGTGATTGACGTGATCAAAATAAAAAAAAATTAAATTAGAATGACCGAACATATACGCTAAATGTGGTTGAGAATTTCAACACACATATTATTTAAATCCAACAAATAAATATAGCTTAATACTTATTAAGTCTTCATAACTTAAAAATAAATTCTAAATAGATAGTGAAGTGTTTTTTTTTTTCGAAAACATGTTTTTTTCGAAAGAAAAAAAGAAAAAAGAGGGATAGCAATATTTTATAACAGTGGTGAAAATCAGTTTCATGCTTTTGCTTGCTTGCTCCTATAACCGTGGTTGGATATAACCTCTTGTGTCTGGAGACTATTTGAGGCCTGCGGGGAAGGCGAAAATGAAGTGTCATTCACGGTCATTAAGGTACTGCGGCCTTACCCTGGAGCAGGAGACACAAGGTGGTTTTTAGTCAGTAAAAGTCGACACTCCTTCTCGCCCAGCGAAGTCAGTTGGTGACTTAAAAAGACCGACGCTTACCATGGCAATTACTTTATTTTTGCAGCAAAATTAACGAAGATTAATCTCTCTCAAATAGTATAACTTTAATTTCTCTATATCTGAAAAATCAAAACGGACCCAATTGAAAAGCAATTAAGTTAAACTTAAACTTAGTTGCCAATAGTAACTACTCTGATTTTTCTCAGTAAACCTTATAAAAATAAATGGAAAACTAAAAATCTTTGCCAATACCTCCGTCCCATAATCTTGTAGAGTACAGGAAACGCTAGGATCGAGAAACGTAGAGCTATGTTATGTTTAGACGTCACTTATATAAAATAATCGTACTATTTTAAAAGAAATATATTTGAAGTTTTGAAATTTAAAACAGGATAAGGTATTGAGAAATGTTTCAAGTTTTTTTTTATCAAATTTTATTATTATAAAGAGGTAATATTTGTGAGTTTGTAAGTTTGTATGTAGGGGGTATTCTTTGGAACCGCTGGTCAGATTTCCAAAATTCTTTCACTGATAGATAGCTACAATGTTCCTCAGTGATATAGGCTATGAAATATCACGCTTCGACCAAATGGAGCCGAGGAATGGTTGAAACCGCGCGAAATTAGCTAGTTTACAATAAAGTTTTCACATCACATAAATACCTATATTTACGTTAACTTCTTTTTCTTCAAAAATTTGGCACCTCTATGACAAATTCATTAAAGACAGAGGTGATGTTAGAATTATTATACAAAAGCTTTATATAATTTTAAATTATTACTCCTTTTATTAAATTCAGTAGGACAATGAAATTTAATCTTTTTTACGAGGAAAAAAGTAGAAAATACTCTCAGAAGTTTGTTTAACAGCAATCAGGCGTCAGACTATCATTGTTTTGCTTTAGCAAGATAAGGAAGGTTAACATATCAAGAATATCTTAATTGTTGACACCTAGTATTGCTATCATTACCAAAACAATGTTATCATACGGCAAAATTAAATTGCATAAGGCGTTGTTTTATTAATGCAACTCAATCTGGAATATTTACAGTAATTTTATCATTTTTGCATTGGGAATATCAAGTATCAAGTTTACAATTTGAATCGTATGTAGCAAATGACATAAACTCTTAAAAGCGACTTGCCTTCCTCATTTTTATGAGTAGTACAGTAACTTTTAGATCCAAAAAGTATGCAAAAGACGAAGTGAATTTTTCTAGGATAACTTGTGTACAAATGGAAATCGCCCCAATGTTATCAATAAAGTGTCTTCACTTTTATGGAAGAGGTATTCATTTAGGAATTTCCCTTATTAAACTTGCTCTCTCTTTCTCTCTATATCTCTCACTGTATCTCTCTGTGTATACGTGTCTGAGTCTGTTAGTATTTCTTTTTCCAAATTTTGTCTTTTCTGCCCTGTCTATGAGATTATCGCTCTATGGGGATTGCAGTGAAGCCGCGTTTAGTGGTTATAGCTGGTTCCAATTTGTGGCGTCTTGTATGTTGGCGGCAAATAGTTTACGAGAAGCCTCTTTGACAATGGTTTCTACTACATGTGCTTAGGATATCTTAAATGGAATAGCCTAGTGATTTTCTGATTTTAAAGAATGTTTAAGATTATCACCTGATTAATAGAAACAGGAACTTAATGTAATCTCGTACAAAATTCATGTCAAATTCTACATTTCATAAATTTTGGTTAATATTTCAAAAAAAAACAAGATAACACATAAAATGAAAACTTAAGTAGGTATCTTGAAAATTTACCCCGTTTCGAAGACAGCCCACGACATCAACTGGCCGTCGTCTGGACGTCCTCGTTTATTTAGTGGTTGCGCTACAGTAACTCTCTTTGACCATTTGAGTGCCACTTAAGTTCATATGACGAAATTATTGCCAATTTTAGATCATACGTTCAAAAACAATTTGTTACTCCCCTAAATTTGGAAACCTTTCAGATTGTAGAGAATCAAAAACAACATGAAATCTATAACTGTATTCACTGTTATAATAAAAATAAATATCATAAAATGGAAAATGGAATACGTTATCAAAATTGTATAATATAGCAATGAAATTCAGCATCAAGTTATTAAAAAATGTTCTTGCTTACAGTGGAAGAGCAAAGCACGTCGACGGTAGATGCCGAAGCAGCAGCAGCAACAGCAACAGGAGCACAAAATGGAGAACCGGTAGAAGAACCAGGAAACAGAAATGGAATGAACCAGAAGATGTTGAAACGAATGGAAACAGTTCCTGACATCAAACGAGACACTTCTGGCATTACCACACAGTACATTGCTACTGGGATAGGTGAGATTTTTTTAACCAATTTTCCAAAAACAGCGATGATTGCTTAATATTAGGTTATTCATCTGCTCGTTTTCTGTTTTCCCTTTTATCGGACTATCACAGATAGATACTTTATATCCCATTAGCACCCATTTTCGATTATTGAATAGAATAATAAATTATTTACTATTTGTCTTTTTCCGGAGGGAAAACACACTTTTGCACAAAGTACCATCTACTTTGAAGTTTACTTACACAATCATTAAGCTTTTATCCCATTCATTCATTTGATCATGAAATAATAAGTAATTTTAAGCATGCAAATTTAAGCCTGATATTTCTTCTTTGAAACCTCATTGTTTCACATGAAATTTACCTAATATATATAGAAGTATCTTTTAATATTTTTGGTAATTTTTAGTATTTTTACCCTTTTGCAGTCAATCTTGGAGCTTTTGCAGCTGGTGTTTGTGTGGCTTGGTCATCATCAGCACTACCGTTATTGATATCTGAACCTTTTGAGGTAAGGTTATTTAAAGTTTCATAAGTAAAATTGAGCTACCGAGCTTCGAAGTCCCTTTGACCTCGAAGGTCACTAAATCACTGCACTGATAAGATTCAGTTTTAACCCACCTCATTTTACTTCGGATTTGAATTAGTAAAAAAACATGCCCAACGCTTAGTAATAAGTAATCCTTCAACCTCCAAGAAAAGAGCGTGATCCTTAAAAAGTCAACATCGCACCGCTATTGCTTTATGTTAAGGGTGTCCATGGCAGGTACTGATTGCTTACCGTCAGGTGTTCCGTGTACTGTTTTGCCTCGTATTAACATAAAAAAATATGTTCATCCTCATAACAAATCTATTAAAAGTAAGTAGTCATAAATCAATGGTCCCTCTTCGTAATTTTTGATTACAACTTACCTTTGATTACAACTTACTTAAGGTATTAAGGAATTTAGAAAGTCACCTTTTCCACGATTTCATTCTCCATAACTCAGAATCAATTATCACGCGATGTAGCTTCTAGATCAAAGACACATTCTAAACAGCTTCACAAAGAAAATCTTTTTACCATCATCCTACGTTTCCCAAGATCAAATTCCATCCGTAAAGGGTTATTTATCCGGCTAGATTTATACTAAATGTAGGGGGCGGGGTATGAGTACGTCATAAATAATGTTTTCATTAGCGACCAGCGATAAATTAAACCGTGGTAAGGTACGACCACTGAAATTGTAGACTGGCAGTTTGCAAGCAACGTTTTGTTTAAGTGGGCCGCTGAATGTTTGATTGTAACTAGGTTTTAAGTGAAATTGCCTAATGCTTTTCAAGCTTGCATTTCTTTGTAGTAAAAGCTTATTGAGGAGACCCACTAGAAAGTGTAAGATTTGAACGTCACTAAAATGAGTTGGATAGCAGCCACCATCAGCATCTTTAAGGTGTTTTCTTCCTAATAGATCAATTTATGGAAACCCTACTGTTCTATGTTTGAAATGGCGTTCCCTTCCCTTTTGTGATTCCTGGTCAATTTGGTCGATTTTATCAAATTACATTTCAAATGTACTTATTATTTCAGGACGCAAGTAACGATTGGAAACGTACTTTGGCAATCTTGTAAAATATTTGGAGACAGAAATTTCGATTAATTGGTTTGAAAATCGTCAGACAACATAATTTCTCAATTTACTATCCACTATTCCGACTGTCACGTTAATTAAAGAAAACAAATCTATCTTCCAAATGTAATGTTTATTTTAGGCCGAAATTTTGTGCCCAAAATAATATTTTCTCTTACGAAGATAATTAGAAACCTAAAGCAAACGAAATGTCTTCCTACGAACTTTTAATTGATATTCCTTACATACAAGACAAGCTTGATAAAAATCTAAATTAATAAAAGAATATTTTTCCAATAATGCCGAATATATCAACATCCACAAAATTATATAATTTGATGATGCTAAAGGCAGGTGGTGCAATTACTCTAAAAAAAAAATAGTTTTCATTGTGTTTGTGTATCTACTAAATATTTGCGTCATAAGAATTTTTTATCTCAGAAATCTTGCCTAGACTAATTGGCATCAAGAATTGTAATCAACAAGAAATCCTTGACGATTACATTTAGGAGGCACTTTTTAGCGTCTCTTTGTATTTCGGTTCCAAAGTTTTGTTCTTTGATTATAAGTTCCATGGAAATCTGCATAATTGAGTTGACGAAGCTGCCATCATCAAAATGAAGGAAAGATTTCGTTGCGTACGAAATAACGTCTTACTTTGACGTTCCCTACATTTGCTTAACCAAGCCAATTACTCATTTGTATAAAGTAAATGTTCTGGAGGCTTCTGTGTTTTTTCTGTTACCATGTTGACTTGGGGAGGTTGAAGTTTGAGAAATTTTTATTTTCATTTTTACTTCTGTTGCATATTAGCAAAGATGTTTTATATAATTTCATATAAATATTAAAAATAAAATCTAAGCATAATATGCTTAGGTTTTATAGAAATTCGGTTAATAAAGATTGAGTGAGTTGAGCTAGGTAAAATTTATTTACACCGATACCGTTCATCGTGTTCAATTTAGCATCATCATTGGGAGTTTTTTGTGGGTCCATTTTTTTAAATCGTCTAGAGAGAATCTTAAACTCTTACTGACTAAAAAGCGCTCCGTTCCTTCTACCGAGCCGCGGGCAATTAGTGCACTTGCGGTTGCAAGCCTGTATCATCATTAAGTTATGGGTAAAAAAAATACAATAAAATAAATCAAGTAAAGGAACGCCATATCTCCTCACAGAATTAAATGCACCTACATAAATTTATTGCAAAACTTGGCAACCGAAAATGTGTGAAAATGTTTTACAGCATTTTGTTCACCTTAGCAGAAGCATTTGTAAAAAAATAAATTCATTCCTGAACTCGCATTATTTACAATCAACAAATCTTTGGTGCGACCACCAAAAATTGGAGCTGCGCCCAAAATACGCCCGTTTACATCCCACACGAAACTACCTCGATCGTTAATCCACGAAAACTTGGAACTTTATGAATCTTACTTCAGTGCAAATTGCCCAGTAAGTTAAATTAAATTTTATATACCTACTTTTTTTTCACAAAATAAGGTTTTAATTTTTTAATTGTTTTTAAAAGAATAAATAAGACTAATGACCTGTTTTACTACCTTCGCCAATGAATTTAATGTTTTGTAAATTAAAGTTTGTGCCTTGTATTAAAATCTATGGTTAGTGTTACTCACAGACAGGCATAGTTTACGCGGCAACTGGCATCAAAGGTGTTGGTGGTTCGATTCCCGTACAGAACAATTCTTTGAGTGGTGGTCAACCCATAAATGGTTGTTCGAAGTTTGGGTTTGATGTCTACGTGAAATTGTGTTTGTAATCGCGATACAAAAAAAAACATAGTGCAGGGTAGAGTCAAAAAAAGACAATATGTCCATTAAAAAATATTAATCAAAACCATAACAACACCTTGAAGTGGTGTGATTTCATCTTCACATAGATAAATCAAAGAAAAAAAATACCGTCGTCATTTATATCCTGTTTCGATGATCGATCATTGTTGTCTTGACCACCGATCTTCAAACGAATGAGAAACCAATTTTCGTTTTTTGTTTTTCGAAGTCAGGCACATATTTTTTTCCTCTCTGTTCAAAGAAAATAGAAGAAAATAGATGTAATAAAGTAGTAATCTACTTTATTATATCTGTAAGAATTTATAGAAAATGCACTCTTAGTATATTTTATCATATTTAATATTTATCCAAGAGATCTATGTCATGTGAAATTATTATGTTTCAATTTACTGTTTACTTTTTCTATTTTATTTACGCCTTAAATTTTACACTCATTGATTGTACAGAACATTTTAAAATAAAGTGGTAATTTGCATAAACTTTCAGGACATGTTTATTGAGAAAATCCCTCTATACCTAAAGAAAACATTGCCAATAAAATGAATGGATCACGCATGTAGTACATTGGTCGACCTCATAACCGGAGACACGTCTGCCAATGATAAGACCCAGACAATTTATTGACAGACCAATTAAATAATGGAATGCCATTAATTAAAATATAAGGAAAGTTTCATTTGTACAGTCGGCAGCTTCAGACAATGGAGATAACGTGTCAATTATCACACGCGGCAAACGTTTTTATGTTATATGTATGAAAAAAGCTGGTACTATCCTTATCGAGCTTGAAAAGGAGATAAAAAATGTTAATTGTTGATACTGCGTGATTGTTTCAAAAGTAGGGTGTTTTGTTTGTTGTATTTTTCTTTCAAAGCAACCTTACTTTAACGGATTATCCTGTATTGAGCAGAAATAGATTATTTATAGAAAATAGATAAAATTGTTGTTTTTTTCTGTCAAGTACCTAACAGTAATTATTCATGTAATAAAAACAAAGCAGATGAAGTGCTTGGACATAATCGCTAACCAAAAAGTTATGTTGAAAATTATAATAGAAAAATACAAGAACAGTCAAGAGTTATTGGATGATGGCGAAAGTTCGTAACTAAATACAGTGATCAAATTCCTGAACAGTTTCAAATGATTGCCCTTACTTCTTGTTAGTTGCCTAAACGCAGCGGAAACTCTAAGTATACGAACTTTATCGAACTTAGCCGAAGTTCCCCGAGCGACTAACTGCACCGCATGCGGTGAATCTTTGACTTATAAAGTTATGATATTGCGACTTTGTACATGACTGCAAAGTTATAAATTGTTATTTGTGTCTCCATAAAGTTTACTTTTGCGTGTTCTGACAGAAAATTTATATTTGTACACCATTATAAACCTTAAAATGCGCAATGCAGGTAAACCATAATAATGTTTCCAATTTCACCTATTATTGAGTTGTCCCGGATCTCGAAAGTTGGTTCCAATATTGGATTATCGTTGGACATGCAACATGAATCCCCATTAGCAAACTTTTCGATGGTATATTCTGTAAATGGTACTTTAAATTTTATTAACGTTGCATTTTCTTGTACTCTTGTCATTTGTATAACATATTCACGTAACATCGTACGTGCGCTGGCTTACGTTATTTTTAGAAAATATTCTAAGTTAGCAAGTAAAGGAGCTCAAAGTCCACAATTTGCGATTTAATCCGCAACATTTCCATCTTTCTGGAAAACGGAACACTTATTCTAGTAGATAGCGCTGCATTGCCAAATAATTTTGATGGTATCAGACTCAACATGGCTCCTTCGCAAAGTTGTTGTGCAATTGATGAAATTGTTCTGTTCTTGTTTGACAAGAAAACAAAGATAGCCAAGAAAAATTGCAGACTTAATAAATATTCTTGGGAGTTCTCGAATTGCAGTCCATGAAAAATATTTGTATGTTTATTTCTTCTTGGACACTCTCCAGTCCGCATTAGCTAATAAGCCTAATCTAAGCTAACACAAAGTGAATGGTGGCACAAATTTTGATTAAAAATATTATATAGCCTTGAATTTCTCATAGGAGATTTTATAAGTATTTTATTTTAAGTCTTTTCTGTCCTGTAACATATTTGGAATAGGAGATGTACTATTGTTTTCTTATGGAATTCTTCGTTAATTCCAGTTCTCATATGTAAATTTAATCCAAAATTAATTCATTAACTGCCGTCAGATATCTGTTGAAGACAAATGCTCCGCTATCGTGACTCACATTTTGTCCCATATGATATTCAATGTGTTTATTTAACACAAAATACTTCAAGAATGGATAAGTACAAAAGTTTGATTATAAAATTTCGCTCTCCCACACACCTACGCTTCCAACATTGTCATTGAAAAAGGTTGATTGTGTGTCAGATCAATTTGATGTAATACGGCAATTTTAATCATCCCCTGACCGTCACGGTGATCGATCATGAGGATATCATGTCAGTGTTCTTTGTGATTGATTGTTTCTGTAATAAACAAGTAGAGTAAACAGTTTTTATTCATGTCGTTGAAAAAGTGGGCCTTATGGACACGGGTAATTTTGTATATGAAGGTATTAATTTTAATAATCGTGTAGGTATTTCGTCCATTTTTTCAACCTTAATTAGTTTGACCTGATAGATACCATTTAAGAATCTGAGTGACATACACTTTTAATTCTAAATACATTATGAATTTTGTTAAATCTTTAAAAAAATAATGATTATTCTATATTATGTTCCCATCGACCAGGTTTCGTAGTGGAAGTACAAGGCTGATGAAAACTCAATCCAAGTTTGCATCATCCTAACGACTACCATTTATGTCGAATTTGTGCTCATTAGGCATGCAATTTTCTCCTGACCATTCAAAAAAAAAAAAAATGATTTAGAACGTGTTTTAGTTACTTTGACTACTTATGAATTATATTATAATCTAAAATTTGCCTTAATTGTTTTTCCTTGAAACGTTTAATGTTTTAAACGTATTTAGTTTTTGAGAATGTGTGTATTAATAATTCAAAACCAATTTTAGCATTGGTGTCTAAAAATTTTGTAATCTAATACTATCGAACATCTTTGGGAAATTTTGAGAACGGCTCTATAAACTGTCAATCAATCATCATTACGCTACATGAAGGGTTAATTGCCAGATATACCAACCCTATTTTTGAAGACTATTTTGCTGATTCGAAGAAATAATGTCTCGCCGGGTTTGAATGAAGCACCGCGGCTTCAGCCTACAGCAGGAGAAGGAACGGGGGTTTTGAGCCGGTAAGAGTCTGAAAATTACCCTCACCCTGGGCTGAAAAGTCATATAATGATGTTCCTATGACAAAAAACCTCATGATGTCATCAGCTACATTGTTTTATGATTATAACGCTTTTATTAAGTCGCTCTGTAGCAAGCTATGTAATTGAATCTAAGAATTTAAATTATACACACTTCTGCTTCTTAACGGGTTGATGGAATAGAAAGGTTTCTGATGGTACTGTCTGTTAGCTATAATAATCCAATTTGACTTCAACAAAGCGTTACCACGACCTCATTGTATATATACAGGCGTAAAACTATACTATCGTCGTGAGAGTGGGGGTCTCGTGGAACCTTGTCGCTGCCAAAGATCGTTCTTCATAGAGCTTGATAAATGACAGGGTCCATGTGAACTATTTATAAGTACTACCACCTAAGAATACATGTGGAAAGCAATAAAGTATTGAATATTGAGTATTGAGTATATGATAATACCTTGTTGGGGAAAATGAATCGGAAGGGTGGGAGAGCCATGATTCGGCCAAATCGGCCCCGACTAGACCGGCCTCACAGAAAAACGGCGTGAAGCAACACTTACTTTGTGTTCCACCGTTTCAGTGAGGTCATTGGAGGCCCAATCGTCCCCCTTCCCCCATTCTCAATCCTTAAAGCCAAAATAACTCTCAACAGGTCGGCAACGCACTTGTGGTAACTCCTTTGGCTAAGCTATCCTTGAAACTTGGCTTTCCTACACTTAAATCATAAATTCTAAATCTCGCTACTACTATCAATGATTACATGTCTAGACAAGAAATGAAACTTGTAACTAACTTCACAGTAATCAAGTAGGTTCAAAATGTATCTACAAACTTTGGTTTCTGTTGACAGTGCTGTAGCGTGAATTCCGAAGTTCCGAAGCGAAGCAACTTCTAAATATATGGTAGTGATCTTCCTTGCTTTTACTGCTTCTGTAATTTTGGCACAGAGAATATATCTTCGGATAGTCTTTTGGGAATAAAGTAGCGTTGAAGTTAAAATTATTGCGGAGTTAGGTGAATTTTATTGTTGAATCGGTTTTCTGTAGTTTTATTTAAATTTTAAGTATGTACTTCATGATATGAAATGAAAATTATCATGTTCTTTTAAGTGTAGGAGAGCCATGCTTCGGCACGAATGGGTCGGCTCGACCGGAGTGATACCACGGCCTTACAGAAAACGGCGTGAAACAACCACAGCGTTGCATTTCGCCGTGTGAGTGATGTTACCGGAGGCCCAATCCTTCCCCTTCCCCAATCCATCCCTAGTCCCAATATCTCCAAATCCCAAATCCCTAAAAGGTCGGCAACGCACTCGTAACTCCTCCGTTGCGGATGTCCATGGGCGGCGTTGATTGCTTACCATCAGGTAATCCGTCTGCTCGTTTGCCAACTTATAACATTTAAAAAAAAAATGTTCTGTCATATAAAAATGGGAATGAATCACCTGATACAAAGAAATAAAGATGTATTTTTGTACATGATTTTTAAATTAAACACAGTTTTTATTTTAAATAGCAAAATAAATATGATGTTAAACACAAAATGCAAAATTAACACCCTAACACTTTGTGATAAATAAAAAATTCTCAAGCTTGCATACACCACGTGAAAAATTTTTAGGAGCAAAGAAAACACTGAATTACATAGTAAAAACAACTTAAAGAGCAGAACAGGAAGAGATTTCAAAAGGAATATTGCGGTCTCTTTAACTATGTACCATTTGTCTTTTATTTTTCTATTTATATGCGTTGTAGGTACATGAGTAAATAAATATATTATGTATGTCACAGAACAAATTATATTGAAATTCTGTACAATTTCGTTGTGTTCTGTTGGTGTTGCTTCAATTAGTGTATATGTGCTTAGGCTATTTATTTAGCTTGCACCTGTGTTTATAACCACATTTGTGAAATGTAGTTTTGGTACTGTTATTTTAGTATGAATGAATGGTTTTAATTTGTCGCTTGTTGGTTTTCATATTTACATACAGATGTTGTAATATTAATGCACAGTTGACGCAGTTTGACTGGGCAACACGTTACCGTACAACCGTAGTTCGATTCCCATACTAACCCTTTATGCGACTAACACAATACACATTTGGTGGTGAAACGTTCACCAAGATTAACGCCGATTTGAATATAAATTACTTTCAATGTTTTAACATTTTCTGATCCTTTTTAAGGAAAATGATTCCAAAAAATCTTTTTGTCGAAAAAATTATTATTGAATTCATTTGTCCAAAGCTTTCAAGCCACATTCAGTCCGGTTTGGTCCAAATTTAGGCCTTTGCCTTATAAGCGACCGAATAAATAAATTCAGCTACACACTACAGTTATCATATCTATTAGTGCTTTCAAAGTTAAATGTTCTTAAAAAATACATTAATGTTTCAGCCACCGTCGCCGACTCGAGACATTATTGCCATTGAGAACACACCACCAACCCTACTTCCTCCTGCACATACTAAACTTTCGGTAAGTTAGTCCTATTGGTTAGGCTTCTGGATTCTGTTTTCTTGGATGACTTTTATTATAAAAAAGGGCGGTAACTTAATATTCTAGAATTGAGGATGTACACCCGTGTGTTATGTCATGCGGTGCACAATAAAGTTTATAATAAATTAATGGATAAACAAAAATATTTTATTTTACGTTAAGACAGAAATTATTTATTATCTTTTTCACCAGTTTTCTTTTAAATCGTTTTTTGTTTGTCGTTTGTTTTCGGAAACGAGAATTCTGCGTCCGAAACTCAGTGTTCTTACAAATTGGACGTAAAGCCACAACAAGTTTTAGACGATAAACTTTAACAAAACTACGTTTGTCACATCATGATATCGCGCATTGCTGCTAATGATATCATATGATATGTGGCTTCTACTTGAAACTCTAGACCCTTCTTCCTTTATTGACAAATATGATTGCTAATCATGAGCTCTACATGGTAGGCGTAGTGGCTGGGCAACTGTGCAACGTGTCGCGGGTTCCATTCACACACGAAAAAACACTCTGTGGTTTATGTTTGTGAATTTGGATGTTTGAAGTCCCACACAGGAAATTTCTATCGTGGTGCAAAGTTTATTAGGGGACAACGACCACCACCACTTATCTAATCGATGCAAAAATATTGGGTTCCAGCTCACACCTTCAGAAGCATCTTGGGTGGCATCTTTACTCTGTCTTGGCGCACTATGGGGTGCAGGACCAGCGGGTCTTATTTCGGAGTACTTCGGAAGGAAGAAGACCTTGCTTTACTTGGCTCTTCCATTAGTGGTGTCGTGGATACTCGTCGCTTCAAGGTAAGCAAATAATGTCGGGTTGACAAATATAAAGCAGTTATTTTTTTGCGATGTGGAAAACATTATAATTGAACTCTTTATTAAATGTTATATTATCAGTGATTTAATATTTTTATGATATTACGTCATCAAGACATAAACCTAAATCAAAATGGAATGCACATGAATTAAGAATAAAATTATTAATATCTGAAGCTGAAGCAACATCCCTGGAAGCATTTGAGTTTTAACCAAAAACTCCGAGCTTATATCAACTATCGATCTTAATTCTAAGATTATTCTAATTATTTTATCGTAAGACTTGAATTACTTTTTTTTATTGTTCAGTCCAAATGTCTACGGTCTATACGTTGGGCGCTTTGTTGGTGGAATGGCGTTGGGAGCCTTTAGTGTTGGCATACCACCATACGTGGAAGATATAGCTGAGAAGCACATACTGCCAACGCTTGCCAACTTCTACCATGTACACTTCAGTTGCGGTGTTCTGTTTGGATATATTATTGGTAAAGAATTTTTTATTTGACTTCATCTCACATGTCTAAAAGTATAAAATAATATACAACGGTCGGTTGTACCCATATTTGCGAATAAATTTATCTTAATCTTTTTATCTTTTTATCTCTTTATCTAATATCACGGCCTCACAGAAAACGGCGTAAAACAACCACAGCGATGTATTTCCTATGTCGCCTAGTGTAAAATGAGAGGATTGTCAGTATCTTACAAATAACAAAAACCACCAACCACGTTCTTTCTCTTGAGCCAGGCCGAGGCGCGGTACCTTATTGCGCTTGCCTCGCATCATCAATCATCAACCTTTAGCTTTATTGCTTATTTTTATAACTCATAATTTTCTATTTGATTTCAGGTTTAGTTGAAAACACCTCATGGCTGACAGTTCTATGCGCTAGTGTACCAACAGCATTCTTTGTTGCCTTCATCTTTCTCCCTGAATCACCAGCCTACCTGATGTCACAAGGAAAATTCCACGAGGCAAAGGCAGCTCTACGCTACTTCAGGGGCATCGATAACGACATTGACTCAGAAATGAAAGCTTTGAAAGAACGCCTTAGAAACTCTGCAAAGATCAAGGTCACTTTCAAAGAACTCTTTGGTACCAGATCCACAGTGAAAGCTCTAATTGTCTCTTTCTTACTTATGGTCTTTCAACAGATGAGTGGCATATTTCCCGTTCTTTTCTACACCAAAAATATTTTTGAAACATTTGCTATTTCTCTCAATCCTCCCAGTGCCGCTATAATTTTGGGTTTCTGTTTTGTTTCATCCACATACTTTTCTACTATGCTTTTAAAAGTTGTCAGAAGGCGAATACTATTGATGGTCTCCTTTGCAGCTATGGCTGTGAATTTAGCTTGCCTTGGAATTTACTATCATTTGAAAGCATCAAACTTTACTCCAGGTGGTACCTGGATTCCACTATTCACTCTTTGTCTTTTTGTAAGTTTCTATGCATCTGGCGTGGGACCGATCCCATGGCTGATGCTAAGGGAAATTTTTCCAACTCACATGACACGAAGAGCGACAGCTTTAACGGCTGGTTTCCATTGGTTCTTGGCATTCTGTGTTACGAAATTTTATCAGAATTTGATAGACATGGTTAAGCATGGATGGACGCTATTGGCTTTTTGTATAGTTTGCATAGTGGGAATTGCGTTTGTATTCTTTTTCGTTCCGGAGACGAAAGGTAGAACGCTAGAAGAGATTCAAAATGAGTTCGAAGGAATTCATAAAAAAAGAAAGCACAGACACGTTATAGAGGTAGAGAGCGTATCAGAAGCTTAGATCAAGACTGTTAGGATTTGGATTGTTTAGTAGATCATCCAAATCCATAGATTTATTTATAAGTTCAGTTGCTCAATTTTTTATAATGATTGTCCAAAGTTAAATTAGATTTATATTCTAATAAGGTTAATGTTAGTTTTCGTCAGACAAACGTTATAAATTAAAGAGAAAATGTAAATTATTTTTTAATCCTAGGGGCTATTCAGATCGTTTAGTGTTCATTAAAATAATTAGATTTAGTTTATGTATTTATTTTTATTGTAATAAACGTAACTTTATGTCATGCTATGATATTCTTACATTTGATGATATTCTATGATTTTCTTACATTTTTTGTAGATAGTGATGTCTGCGTATTGTGTCTCTTTTATTTTATATTAAAATAGGCCTTGTACTAAATTAACTATACTATTGAAAGGAGTACTTTATCATACTGTTGTAAAGGTGTCTATTTTTGGAAACCACAACCGGTAGTCGTGCAGAGGTTCGCAGGTGCTATACAACACTTTGTGTTATCCGCAGATTGTTATTCAGGGTCTGGGCGTAATGTATCATATGTGGCAATGTAGGTTTGTAAGCACACCCACGATACAGAAGAACAGAAGAAAATCCCTTTTGTGGTGCAACATTCGCTTCTTTACAAAACTACTTGTTTCTCATTACCTAAATCATTAATAAGAATATTGAGTTTTTATTAGGTGTTTTTGTAAACTGATTTAATTTAACAAAGAATACCTACGCTAAAATCCACGGTTCATATAACAATAGGACCTTTAACATTTTTTGTTTCTCCTAAGCATGTACGTTTATGGATGTATATGGTCGCGGCGAAGAACATGTCATAGCATGACAAACTGCGGTTACTCTCAGGAGATGGTGCAAAAGAAACAATTTCCCGTAAGAAATAACTTTACTCAGATACAGGATATTTGTTTTTTTTTTGAAAAATATATTAGACAGGTGTGATGTGTTGAAGTAATATGTATTGCGTGTTTATTAAACGCGATGTATGCAAACCTCTTTTGGTTAAAAGGATTTTTTAATATGCTATCCCTAGTTAGGTCATTGTGACTCAGAAGTTAAGACTCTTGCTTCTCTAATATGAGGGTGCCAGTTTGAAACTTGGCAAGTACCTACCAATGTGACTTAATATTCTTCAAATGGAGGAATCTTGAATTTTTAATTATAAGTTTGATATATATAGGATGGTCTAATGTGATTCCTATTGAAATAATTAAAAATATCGTCCTATAAGTAAGTAAAAGCAATAATGACTAAGTCTAGAGCAAGCTAGACTACAAAGAAAACGAACTATGTGTATATCGCACCATTATCAAAATATTTGGATCAAGAAAATTCAAGACATAAAATACAGAACTAAAATTGTTGTCCATATTATCAAGTGGGCTGCCCAGTATGTTATCCGTACCTAAAATTTTTATAAGTATACCATCATCACAATCATCAGCCTATAAGTGCCATGTGGAGAAGGTAAGAGCATTAATCACCTTGCTCGATTTCAAACTTATAATTATAAATTATAAGTTCAGGTTTCCTTACGACGTTAATCTTCACCGTATGTCAGTGGTGTCTAAATAATCATAGAAAGTACATATAACTTGGAAAAAGTCACATTGGTACTTGTCAGGTTTTGAACCCAAACCCTCATGCACGAGAAGCGGACTCTTCAGCCTCCGGGCCACTACGTAATTTTATACATATACATAATTTAATTAGTCCAATGACATCGTTTTTGTTTACTGCTAAGTGCAGACTTCTCCAACGGCTCGTCAACTATATTAACATCTTACTCTTAAACTTAGTTCAAAAGAGCCACGCATTTCGAAGCTCGTATTACCAAAGAAAAATGCATCCATGCGTCACAGCTGCGATGCGTTTTCACAAGTTGCAGTTACTGAAGATTTATGAATGCATGTGTGCACCCAGCTTTATCCTTGTACTCTGTTATAAATTTAAGCATTATGTCACAAGACTTGTCTTGTATTATGATACAATATATATTTTAGCTTCTATGAACGATTTAATATTTTTACAATATAATGTAAAGGTGGGCTGAATGCCTCAGGCATTGTCTAACAGATGATTAGTTTTTCAAATTAAATAAAAAAAAAATACTAGTTTTATAAAAATTAAATGAAAAGTTATTAAGGATCAGTTTCAATTTTGCCTCATGAGTAAGTTAGTAGTAGGTTATGCGGTTGAGGTATTCCTCGTAGCGCTCCCGTTTTGAAACGCTCCCATCTAAGCGCTCCCGTTTTATTCCTCTAAGCGCTCCCAAAAAGGAGCGCTTCGAGGAACGATTAAAAATATTAAAATTTATTTCCTCGAAGCGTTTAAAAATAGGGAAAATCATGAAGTAAACGTAATGAATTATATCGATAATATTTAAAAACTCATGTGTGTATCATCGACATCGAAGTTGCTTAACCAAATTAGGAAATTGAGAGAATAATATATTTTTGCTTTCGGCACTCTTATGTGTATACAAGGACCAATGTTATTGTGTATTCAAAGAAGATGTTATAAATAAGACGCATAGATATACTTAATATAAATTATATACGTATAACAATCACATTGCAGTAGGACCTACATAATAATTACAAGAGTACTTTGTGACAGTACCGTGGCGTGGAGCTAGTCTAGCTTATCGATATAATTCATTACGTTTACTTTATGCTTTTCCCTATTTTTAAACGTGGGAGCGCTTCGAGGAAATAAATTTTAATCATTCCTCGAAGCGCTCCTTTTGGGAGCGCTTAGAGGAATAAAACGGGAGCGCTTAGATGGGAGCGTTTCAAAACGGGAGCGCTACGAGGAATACCTCATGCGGTGAGGATGCGGTTTTATTTCGGTCTTTAAATTGTATTTCTTTATCAAAAACTACATCGATAAATGGTTTGATGCTGAGATGAATATTCATTATATGCAATTCAAGTCATTCATCAATAACGAGTCTAAATTTGAAAAACAAATATACACACTTAAAATCAATCACGCCTACGTTTTCAAAAAAAAATGTTATGTATTGTATCATACAACATATTCACAATTCTGAAAAACTGGAGCCTAAAAAACTCAGTACTTTTTTATGCGTCGTTCACGACACGACACGTTTCATCAGAGTAAGGAAGCCATTCAAGGAAATCACCCATTACACGAGCAACGACAGTCGTGGACGTGTCTTAATGGAGTGAGAAGACGAAGGAATGGTTCGCGATGAGAATATAAATCAGATCATTCAGCCAAAACTTTTGAAAATAGTAACAAACATACCTACTGTTGAACGGATTGCACAATTTGATATAAACTTTAAGTAAAAAGAGTTAGAGAACAAAATTATTAAACTCAGATATTTTTCAAATAAAACGCAGAATTTTATCATCAATAATTATGTTTATTCGGGGAAACGCCTAGTAAAAGAGAAAACAAATAACCACCACTTAGAGATCAATGATGACAAACAATAAATAAATAACTAAAGTTCGTCATATAATTAGAAAAAACACAAACAAAAAGTTATTCAAGTAAATCTGAATCAAAAACGCCTCATCGATCGTTCCAAGTCTAGTTGCAAAGCAAACATGGATTCAGTATGAACTATTAACCCAAAAGAAAATAAACTTTATCGTTTTAAAAATAAGACTGCAAATACAGATGATAGACATTAATTTAGATATAAAAGCACTAGATGATAACAGAAATGGAACATGAACTGTTTTCCTTTAAGTTAGGGTTGAAAATTTGTTGTGCTAGAGTTTAGTATGCAGGGGTATTTTAACTTGTAAATAAAAACTATGGAATGTGCTGGCTGAACGGTTTGAAAAGTCAGTGTGGCTTTCACGTGTCTTCTATGTATTTAGGTCAAATGTTTACCAGAGACATTAGTATGATGAATGCTATTATATTGAAATCTATTCGAAAGGGTGGAAAGTTTCATCGCTTGGTGAGTGTTATTGGGGATAATTCTGTATTGTGAGCAATGTTTTATGATTTTATGAGTATGTTTTAAGGCGACGCATGGTTTGACTAGGCATTGTGGGTTTCATTTGTTTAGTTTGTGCATTATTTATATTGTTCGGTTAAATTGCAGGATTTATAAGGTTGAAGCTCACGATCAGGTTAGTACAAGTACTTTAATATTAACACTTTTAGGACAGTGATCGAACTTGGCGTACAAGTTCATCCTGTTTTCTTTGTAATGATATTAAAATAAAACAGCCGAATAGAAAGACTTCAGCGTTTATGCTTTCACTTACCTTTTCCGAGAATGTTGAATTATCATTTTAATATTTTAACGATTTAGACATAATGTGCCTACTCGAAGCACGTCGTTGAAACTTCTAAGAAATCCAGTTTTATGTATTTTTATTGTAAATCTTGTAAGTCTGAGAGATTCGGTGAAATAATACTTTGGAACGCAGAGCGGATTTGGTAACTTCCTGCCTAAACGTATATGTGTGTCGTTAGATGGGACATATAGAGACAGACGACAGCCAACAAGATTTTATCCTTGATGAATATTGTACTTAATGTAACTATGTATAAACTTTCAAATGTTAAATTCCGCTTACATTCTTCTTTAAAATAATAATATTGGCTTTCTTTCTTAGTACCTATATAAATATAGATATTTGAATATCAATTTAAATAAGTGGTGTAGTATAATAAACACCCTGTCAGATTTATTTCCCTTATTAAAACTATAAGCTTTTTCAAAGGATGAAGATCTTTCTCCCTTAAAAATACTCTTTGAATCGAATGATTTCACCAGCTCTGCGCACCATGTTCTCGAAAGCATATAACAGTAATAATGGTTAACAGAAAGAAAAATCAATTTTGCATCAATTCGGAAAAGATTAACCGACGAAGCATTCCTGTTTCAAAAACGTTCTTTCAATCTAAATGCTCCCTCAACTTTTTGGCCCTGTGTGTCGCAAGTAAACGACGTCACGCATCAGAATTCAAGAAAAAAAAATCTTCACGGTAAGTCGGTTCCGCTATATTTAGCTCTGTCTAAATGAAAAACAGCGGTTCTACCTCATACCACATTCAAATGTATCCCACACGTCTATCATAAAGAGTTAGGACTGAATATTCTGTGGTTATATGAAACTTTTTCTTTGTCTTTCCTTGTAATAATTAATTAGATATTTCAGAATAACCGTTTTTAT